TTCACTTTTCGAGTAACTAGTCAAAGTTTTTATCTCCAAAACAGGAATGTAAGCCTATAAAGTCCAAGTATAGGTATTATGAACAAAGCCAGTCCAAAGCTCATTTACACCAAAAGAAAATGAACAGAAAAAGCTGATCAGAGTTTTATTTATTGTGTCTGAAGTTACACAGCTAACATGAACATATTCTCTTGCATAAACAAAAAAAAAATGTGTTTTAGAAAAAGCCAACTAAAATCCCTTATTGGAACGATATACTCCCACTGCAGTCTCTTGTTTTTCTAACTTTCAGGAATGTAGGGGCCAGGGAGATAGCTCAGTAGAGTAAGTACAAGGGCCTGAGTTCAATCCCCAGTTCTGCAAAAAAAAAAAAAAAAGGAATCTGTATTACCCAAAAGTGTGATTTCTGAGTATTTTATCAACATACACAAAGGCATAAGCATGTTTGGTTATCGAAGAATATACAACAGTGAGGCTCAGAATATTTATTTTTTCCACCTGTAGTTGGAAAAGGCACAAAGCCAAGTCATCCTCTTTCTATAAAGGAAAGCAAGGTAAGTCACACTAAAAGTTCCTTCTTATAGTTCATAATCCTGTCTGGAACTCTGCCTCTCCCTTTCAACATCATTTTGTCAGAGTAGACATGAACTGTGCCAAAGGCTTGGCTATCTGGAGCTGCTTCAATGACTCCCTCTAGGTCCAGGTGGTGCACACCAAAGGGGTCTTCAGAGTAGCCGCCATCATGCGTATGACCAGCAATGAAACACACCACACACTTGTGAGACCAAATGACTGCCAGAGCGTCTCTGTAGTTCCAGGCCAGGCACACAGTGTCAGAGGCTTCTGGGTAAATGGGGATATGGCTCACAATCACCACTTTTTCTTGGTTTGTGTCAGAGAACGTAAGAACATCATTCAACCAGTTCAGCTGTTCTTGGCTGAATCCTCCATTGAACTGGACAAACTGGGGCTCAAACAGTCCTGAATGGATTCAGTAAGTCACACCCATCAAATGTCATTCTTTTCCTCATTTGGGCATCCAAACGAGGACACTTGTTCTTTTCTTTAGAAAAATCTCATTAGCAGCAATAAAGTTTAAATAGAATTCTGACCAATATACAAGTAAGTTACATTTTCTTACTTCTAGTCTTGGCACTGTTTGGTTTACTGGCTTTCCATTGCACTCAAAAGAAAACAGGAATTCCTTACTATGTCTCCTGAGCCCCATGTTCATTCTTCAAAAACATCTTGTACCTCACTGGTCCTTTTCCATGTTGTTCAATACCCAAGTCTTATTCCACTTAAGTGCCTTTGATTGCTTTTCTCTCTTTATCTGCTAACCTCCTAGCCCTCACCTTCTAGGATAGCTCCTTCATCTAGATACTCACTTCCGCTTAAATGATTTTCTTCTTGGAGAGTCTTTCTTATATAATCTAAAGTAGCCTCCCTGATACTTTTCTGTAACCTTGCTCTGCAACACTTAGCACTGCAGAAATAACATGTTTCTGCTCGCTAGGGTTGGGCCCTCATGTCTCCAGAGGGCCCATGTATTAAAGGCTTAGTTCTTGCCCATGGCAGTATCAGGAAGGTGGTGGACTCTTCTTGAGGTGTGACCTGGTGGGAATTCACATTAAGTCACTAGGGGTGTGACCCTGAATGGGGTATCTGGACCGTAGGTCCCCCCACACACACTCTGCTTTTCTGCACCATAAGGCTAGGAGCTGCTCCACCACTTCCTGCCATGACGTGCTCACCAGGGTCCAAAGATAATGGGGCCAAGTGCAGATGAACAGAAATCTCTGAAATCATGCACCAAAATCGGCCTTTCCTCAATATGTGTTATCTCAGGTACTTTACCATGATAGGAAGTTTATATGTTTATTAAATGTCTTGTCTACCTACTCTTTTGGGTCTCTTCATCCCATTCACAAGGGAAAAAGTGATTGGCCCAGAATGAAACCTGAATCAATTACCAAACCAAGACATCAGGCTTGTGTGAAATCCTGACCCTGAACAAGAACGACATACACTTTTACCTCAAGCATCCATTTTCCTGCTGAATAAAAGGAAGCTGAAGAATTCAAAGACAATGTATTAGATTCTCAGTTCAAAGGAATAATTCACCTTTTGGACTATTCAATTCCTTATTTGGGTTGTGCTCCCTCAGTATCTTCATACACTGCTGGTATTTTGGAGAAGACTGATCTATACCCAAGATACTCAAGTCATAAGAATCAAGTAAAATGAACCGGAATTTAGGGAATGGTACAAAATGATAAGCATAATAATTCTCTGAAGGCACAGTCTCAGGATGATGTGCAATCCTATCTTCTAGAAACTTTGTGTTAAGTTTAGAGTTTATTAAATAGTCTCTACTGAAGTTATAAAATTCATGGTTTCCCCATGTATGATGAACTGGGACTTTGAGCATCTGAAATGTGTTCATAACACGTTCTAGGGACTTTTCTGATGTTTTATACTGTGCATTATAGCCATCGATGACATCTCCAAGTTGGAGGACACAGCAGGGCATGCTGCTTTCTTTATTCCACTCTTCAATAGCGCCAGTTAGGTGAAGAAGACTCTGTCGGTAGTACCGCCGCCTGCTTCCTTGGTAATTGTACCCATCTTCTAAATCAGCATACTGGATATCTGCTATAACTCCAAAGGAGAAGAGCCATTCTGAACTGTCTCTCATGGTCTCAGGATCGAGCTTCTCGGCCATAACTTCTGATGGGGTTTCTCTCACCGGTCCTCCGCCAGCGCTCCTTGACGACTCACTAACAACCATATTCTTAACGGGCCAATGACAAATGGAAAAATAAATTGAGTTGGTGATTCCATAGGTATAATTCAAAGAGTAAACAGAAACAGCTAAATTTCAAGGTTGGTAGTAGGACTATTGAAGGAAGGTTGTCAGAAGACACTGTTAATGAAAACAGTGACTTTCAAAATGAAGCTACATTTAGCAACTATTTTTCACCAGAAGTATTTGGCATGATGTTTAGGCTCAAGATTGCTATTCTGTATTGCTTAATGCATTGTTAACTGGAATCTGTGATGTGTGTGGCAGAAAAAGAGAGAAAACTGATGCTTTTTCACGTATGAATGCTCACATCGGATTCTCTTTATATTTTACTACACCCAGTTTTTTTTTCAGATGCTTGGAGAACAAAAGCATACTAGTAAGAAAAACTATGCAGTCTTGTCAGGTATTATTTATGTATTATTATTTTGCTGAAAAGATGTGAAAATATGAAGAATTAGAAAACAGAGCAGCTAAAGTAAGTTATAATGAGCCATCTAAAAAAGCCCACAAGGGAATAAAAGCATAATGACAACACATTTTCATTATTCTAAAAACAAATTCTAGCTGATGGTTAAAACCTATTAATTGGAGATTTTAGCTACTTACCCAAGGATAAGACTGTAACAAGTAGCCTTTCACACCAAGGGAGAAAACAGAAGTGGTATCATTTTATTTAGAGAATCTAGTTTTCTTATGTTATACAATTTGTGGATATGGGAGAAGTGGAGAGTACATTGAAAGAATATATTAAAGTTACTTCACTTGAGGACTTAAATTGCTTAAATAGTTTATGTATACAGATATTTGAGAAAAAAAATTGAAGAAACA